AAAGAAAAGCACAAGACCAAGAAAGAACATAGGCGGAGGAAAGAGAAGGTGAGTAACTTCTGGGGTCCTGGGATCGGCATGTTGGGGCTAATACCTCTGTTGTCCAGATTGGCCCTCAGGAGTGACACACGAAGCCAATTGAGGAGACTATCTTGAGGCCATCTTGGGGCATGGGGGTCTTTCTATACCTTGACTGAAGTTTCAGCATTCTGTGTAAACCCTCAGTTTTTAGAACCTTTGTTTTTTTCTTTCAGACAGAATATTTTATTCAGTTGTGCTTTTAAAAAGTTAATTATTGTGTTTGTGAGCATTGTGAGCATTAAAAAGTAGGCAAAGGGGGCCTTTCTGGGATTAAATCTCATCATTGCTATGGCCTGAGTTCGATCCCCAACCAGGGAGCACACATGGTGCAGCAGACCTCTCCTCTCTCCCCCGCTGCTCCCCTCAACAGTATATTTCAGTCAGTCCTCCTATTCTGCTCCCCACTCTGTGTCTGGTGAGTCCCCTCACCCCTCACACCTCTGGCCTATATCCCAGATCTTGTACGCAGAAAAAAAAAGAAACCTTACAATTAAAAAAAAAAAAAGCTGTAAAAAAAAAAGTAGGGCCTCCCCTGGTGGCGCAACGGTTGAGCACTGGGCTGCGAAGCTGCCCGCAGCCTCTGCAGCACTGGTTCAATCCCTGGCCACTGGCGAGGGTCCCACATGGCGCGACAGACCTCTCCTGTCGTATCCGCTGCTCCCTTCAGCAGTGTACTTCATCAGTCTGCCTGTTCTGTTCCCTGTTCTGGCTCTGGTGAATTCTCTCACCCTCCCACACTTCTGACTGTACCCAGTGCTAGTATAAATAAATAAATATTAAAATATATATATAATAATAATAGTTTAAAAAAAAAAGTATCTTAGGGGCCATAAGTGTCTTAGAGTAACAGCTGAGTATTAAGTAATAAGACAATATTAAGTGAGTATTCATTCAATATGAATGAAGGTTTTTTTTTTTTAATTTATTTATTTTTATACAAGAGCTGGGGTATAGGCCAGAGGCGTGGGAGGGTGAGAGGATACACCAGAGACAGAGTGGGGAACAGAACAGGCAGACAACAGAAATACACTGCTGAGGGGAGCAGCGGGCACAACAGGAGAGGTCTGCTGCGCCATGTGAGAGTCTCACCGGCCCGCGTGATCGAAACCACGCTGTTGAGGCTGCGGACAGCTTCACAGCATGGCACTCAACCTGCTGAGCCACTGGAGAGGCCTGAGTGAAGGTATTTTTGAACATTTGTCAACTACTTTGTCATCATTACAAATGGAGATTTGGGTTCCTAACTCTTTGAAGGGAGAGGTTGGTAGGAGGCACGAAGGAGTAGTGCGTTCCTGTGCTGCCAGTGTTCCTCACTTCATCATCCACGGCTCCTCCTCAGCTGTAGCACAGGCATTTAACTCAGCTAGTGTTCATGTGGGTACCCAGAGTGGCCCCGGCAGTTGGAGATCAGAAATAGCTTCATTATTGGCTTCCAGAAAAAGGTTCCTGGAGCATAGCAGATGAGGAAAGTTCCCTTGTGGTAAAAATGAAAAAAAATCAGTGCTGACAGATTTGAAAACCAAATTCAATTGTTTCTTACCAATGTCTTTGCTGTTCTCTGACCTTCTCCCAATTTTTTTTTTTTTAAGATTTATTTATTTATTTATTTATTTATACAAGCACTGGGTACAGTCAGAAGCGCGGGAGGGTGAGAGAATTCACCAGAGCCAGAGCGGGGAGCAGAGCAGGCAGAAGGACCCTGAAGTACACTGCTGAGGGGAGCAGCGGGCGGGAGGGGAGCAGCGGGCAGCAGGAGAGGTCTGCGCACCGTGTGGGAACCTCCTCTGGTGGCCGGGGAGCAGCCAGGGATCAAACTGGCACTGCAGAGGCTGCGGGCAGCTTGGCAACCCAGCGCTCAACCGCTGTGCCACCGGGGAGGCCCCTTCTATTATTTTTTAATGAGTCCAGCTGCCAAATGCCTGATCCCCTGTCATTGACTGACTCAAGGAACACACCATTGACTTCCACCACCGCTCCCCAATTTCTTTTTTTTCCCCAGAAAAAGAAACATCGGAAGCACAAACATAAAGGCAAGCAGAAGAACAAGAAGTCAGAGAAGAGCAGTAGTTCTGAGAGTTCTGACAGCAGCGACAGCCAGAGTGAGGAGGACACACCCCCTGACCTGTCACCCCAAGAACTGCTGAGACGGTGGGTCTGCAGAGACCACAGATGCCCCTTAAAACCTTGATGTATTTGCCTAGAGTCAAATGGCAGAAATGATAAATTTGTATGTTAACAAAACTTTTATATTAAATTTTTAAGGGTTTTTTGTGTGTAGAAGAGCTGGGGTGCAGGCCAGCGGTATGGGGGGTGAGAGGATTCACCAGAGACAGAGTGGGGAGCAGAATAGGTATATCTACTGAAATACACTGCTGAGGGGAGCAGCGGGCAAGACAAGATAGGTCTGCTGTGCCATGTGGGTCAGCTCCCCAGCCAGGGATCGAACTCAGGCTGTAGCAGTGATAGCACTGAGATTTAACCCCTAGGTCACCAGGGAGGAGGCCCCCTCTGTGTTAACTAGACTTCCTAAAGTTATTATGAATGTTCTAGTAATATGTGAATATATTCTCACGGTAAAAATTCACACCTTACATATAAAGATTCAAGTGGTCCGTGACCAATTCCTCAAAGCTCTCCTCTCTGCACAGTAACCTCAGCTTCACATGCAGTTTTCAAGGCTTTGTTCAACTATACTTACATACGTGTAACATATATAAATTTTATGCACTTTTATTACAAGTAATATGTATATTTTAAAAAGTATAATCAGTATATTAACATATTTTGAAAATTTAATATAATCACATATATTTAATAATAATTTTATAAATGTTCTTTCTTAGCTTAAATCTATCAGGTACACACATTTAGTGAATCCACACACGTTTATATGCACAGATCATAAGTTCACAGCTCTACGCATTTTTACTACATGAATACACTCAAATCAAGGAATAGTCCAGTACCCCAGGAAGCCCTTCCCTGTCCCCCTCTCACTTACCATCCTGACCCTTGGTCCCAAAGGAGCCACTCTCTTGGGCCTCCCTGGTGGCATAGGGGTTAAAGTCTCAGCACTGTCAAGCTATCGCCAGCAGCTGTGGTATGAGTTCGAATGCTGGCCAGGGAGCTACCCACATGGCCCAGCAGACCTCTCCTGTCTCCCCCTCTGCTCCCCTCAGCAGTGTTTTTCAATAGATGCACCTGTCCTGCTCCCCACTCTGTCTCTGGTGAAACCTCTCACCACCACCCCCACACCTCTGGCCTGTACCCCAGTTTTTGTATGCATTAATAAATAAAATAAATTTAAAAAAAAAGAATCCACTCCCTTGGCTGTTTTATTTTTTTTCAATTTAGTTTTATTTATTTATCTGTATCAAAGAACTCAGGCCACCAGGGAGGCCCCGATTCGAGCTTGCTTTTTACAATTAGGTCCCATATATTTTGTGGGTGAGTGAGTCTCTTGAGTGTTTTGTGCGTAACAGAAGAAGCATTTTAAGTTTGCAGATCAAACAATGTTTTTATCCTTTGTATTTTACAGGTGAAAATGTGAAAAATCAGGCAGGGTCTGATGTTCTCTTTCTTGTTTTCTTTTCTAGGCTGAAACGTCTTCCACTAAAGAGGTAGTAATTGAATTGGGCCCTTGTCTGTCCCAATACCAGATCTTCCCCATGATGGAAGCTCGTTGATTGCTCAGTTAATACATTGTACAGATTGTATTTATATGTAAACTCATGCTGTAAAATAACTTTTAAAGCCTCGACATTTCAAATGCTGCCTTGGAAGGTTGCAGAAAATTATTTCTATTTTTAACATCAGTTAGTGTTGGAGGGAAATATTCAGATTGTACAGTTTAATTAAAATGGAATTTTTCTATTTGCTTCTTGATTTTTTTTTATTTTCTGAAACTTTATAAAAGAAATTAAAAGTGAAGGCTTTTCTCTGGTTTTGTTATGAAGACAGCTGAGTGCAGATGTGGACCAGTGCACTTGGTCAAGGACTTGTGAATGCGGGGAATGGAGGGGGGGCGTGGCTTTCCCGCTCCTGTTTTCCTGGGGAGTGTGGCTCTGCTATCTTGTGGGTGATGGTGGCAGCCAAGAGCTCAGTGGGCAGCGGCACCACGATCCACAGCCTCTGAGGACCATGTCACTGAAGTGCTGAGATAGGTCCTAGGCTGGGAGACAGTACGCCCACCCCTGGCTGGCTCGCGTTCGAGGCCTCTGCTCTGAGCCTGCCTCATCTGCACCGCAGAGGCCTTTGCAAAAAGTTAAGACCAGAGATTTTTCCATTCTCTCTCTCTCTCGCTCGCTCTCTCTCCTTTCTTTTTTTTGATTTTCCATTTTCAAAGTAATATAGAAAGCTCAAGGTAGGGAAAGAACGAAAAAAATCGTCCAATCTTTTTTCTACTGTGGGGCTGCTACCTGCCTGGCGGGACATTCTGTTGTAATTTTCGTTGCATTGTGATGAGATTTCTCTCATCCTCATAAATATGCACGCCCGCTCCTAATAGCCGCATCTTAATTCATCCAGGGCCCATCCTGGAGCCTACTGACCTTTTATCTGTGGTTGGCATAAAGTGGGTTGCCCAGGTGCGCCTTCAGGGCCAGAGGAGCCCAGAAGACCCAAGGAGGGGTGTGGGGGCGCTGCAAGGGTGGGGCTGCGGGTTTCCCACGCTTGGCTTCATTCCTTTTGTGCCTACAACTTGAAGTCCATTTTATAGGGCAGGATGGGGGTTGGGGGACCCTGTTTGCGAGAAGATAAGGCAGCGAGAGATGGCCAGTTGCTGGCCAGTTGCCTGGGTGGGCCCCAAGGGCAGGGGAGGGGTGGGGGAGGGGTGCCTCCGGGGCTGGGGGGCAGGCACGCGGTGCTGGCCGTTCACACCCAGGTCCAAGCGCCAACCCTCTGCAGACGCGAATCCCGACATGGCCTCCCAGCCTCCAAAGGCCCCGGACAAGGGTGGTGTGACTAAGGGTCCTCAGAGGATAGACAAAGCCCTTCGGAGAAGCCCGTCGGCCTGGGTGGGCGTGGCGAGGGCCTACGGTGCATTTAAGTTCTCGCGCCTGAGGGGTATGGGAAACCAAGGCTGTCGACCACCTTGAACCCCTTGGCTTTGGATAAGGACTTGCCACCGCCGAAAGAAGGTAGCCTGGAACCTGAGGAGATCTGGGGCGACCAGGAGCCCCTCTCCAAGGTCAGAACCATCGGGGGTGGGGGGTAGAGGGTGGTTCCAGGGGCAGTGGCCTGTTCCCCAGGCAGGCGTAGGCATACCGACGTGCCAGAGGACTAGCAGGGACCCACCTGGCTTCACTAGGACCCTCGAGTGAAACCCAGGGCTCAACCTCCCCCATGCTCTCTAGTGGGCAAAGACTCAGAAGTGTGCCAGGACCAGTGCCCCAGCTAGGGTGGAAAGATGTGGGGTGGCCCAAGCTTCCTGCCCCCACTGCAGCCATCTCTGGGACCACAAGTCTACCGGGCAGAGCCACCCTACCCTGACCCACCCTGGAACCTGGTCTGCAAGCCTCCCGGAGGTCTGCAGGGCGACGCCCCAGTGCACACCCAGAGGTGTTAAAGGGGACCGCCCCATCCATGCAACAGCTCCCAAAGCTGCAGAAAAGTTAGAATAATAATTAAAAACCGAACAATATTACTTTATGTTCTTAGTGATATTTGAAAGACATTGTATTGCTAAAACAAAGGCTGGCAGACATGAAGAGGAACAATATGTCTTAGGGATAATAAAGAGGATTTCCAAACCCAAATCCTCTGTAGAGGCTTTTAAATTGGAGCAGAGCGGGGAGAGTGAAGATTCAGAGCTCCGGTCCACATATACACAGCTAAATGTCAAGAGTCCAGAGGCAGCAAGCCCTGGAAGATAAACAGGTGACACCATACCCAAGGGGAAGAACAGTGCAGCGGGAAGGGGCAGGAAAGACTGGCATTAAGCTGCTTGCAGCAACACTGGTGCAATGCACCCCCAAGGTGGAGGCCCAGCTGCTGCACCAGGCCCCTCTGCTGCTGCTGACGCAGGGGCAGCTGCCCACACCAGAGATTTGGAGACCTAGCAGTGGAGAAGGGGGTGCACAGAGTTTCGAGCAGGCGGAGAAGAGGGGTAACAGCAGTGATGATTACTGACTTGGGTCTCAGGCTCCCAATCTAGAACAATCACAGCCCCAGCTGGTAGGAAGAGCCAGATTGGCTCATCTCTGGGTGTTCCTGGAAGAGGTTATTTGCACCTTGAGACTGTAATACTCAAAACAACTGTCTTATCCCCACCCTGGGCCAAAACCAAGACAATCGAATGTTCTCACTAAACAGAGCTTAAGCTTCTGGATCTCAGTAACAAGCATAAGCGGAGGGGTCCCTACTGGAAAAACAAAGCAAACAATTCCTGTTTTGTGGCCCTGCCTCAATTATAGTCTCCACCCAGCATTACATCTAGTGCTCAGACACAGCCTAGAGGCTGAGCCTGGTTTGAGACTATACAAGACATTTTGGCTGAGCAATTGGCCTAGGGGAGGGAGGTCAGTGTCTATCCCCACCAGGAACCCACAACACAGATCTTACATAGGAACAGTAGGATTGCTTAAGGCTCTCCAGAAGCCACCTTCTAGTGCCCATTACCTCTGATCAGCACCATGGCCCAGGTCACCTGAACAGGTACAAAGTCAGCAGTCTGAGATAACAGACATCTAAAGATCTGGATTAAAAAGCAAAACAAAACAAACTAGGTTTATACCCAGCTTTTTGTAGGAGGAGGAGAAAGTCAATTCATTAAGAAAAAGGAAACTTCCTATTCGAACTCATAAACACTAAAAATGAAGAAAAACTCAAACAAAAAAAACAAACCAAAAAAACCCTTGAGAGCAGTCTCAATCCAGCAGCACTGCAGAATAGCCCTAAAGAGGAGTGTTACGTAGAGTTATAACCATGGGCTTGTTGAATTAAGAAAAGTGTGGATGATATAAAACAGAAACACAACAAAGACTGAGAAAATATGAGACAACTACTGCCGGAACTTAGGCTGCCTCTTCGGACTGTGTTTTCTTACTCTTAGTATGTCGTGCAATATTTTCTTGAAACCCAACAGAGTGTTCTGTGTAAAATGAACTGTACTCCAGAAGCTCTTGGTAACAGAATGGGAAGATGTACTGGGAGTAAAATTGTTTTCTAGTCTTATGATTAGGTCTCAGACTTTGAATAAGCTTATGCCTCTGGACGGTGAACTTTATATATGCTGCTCAGACCTCCCCTCCTCCCATCCTTACATGGGATAGTAGGTGACTGTGGGCCTCCCCCGCCCCCCACCCCGTCATTTAGCAGCTTAGGCTGGGGTGAAATAGCTTCTGATGGCAGCGCTTATGAAGAACAAACTTGGGTGACCTATTTCACAATAGTTCCCTTTTTGCTCTTCTTGCTGGAAGCATGAGGGAATTTTTCTCCAGTAGTCACTGTGGATCAGGACTTCTGCTGGAGGTGACACAAAAGTGTGGAAGCCCCCCACCCCCATGAGTGGGTCCAACTTGAGATTTTAACTCTTACCCTGAATTTCAGTGACTTATTGATTACGGTTCTGATTTCCTTATCTTGGCACTGGCTTCCATGGAGGTGGTGCTGGCTCATGGATTTCTGTTCTTTGTTTGCCTGTCTTTCTCTCCAATTTGGGGGGCAGTGGTTTGCCCTATGTCCTCACTTCTCTTATGGCAATAAGAAGAAATTTGACTTTTCAGTCTATTCAGTATTTTAGTTGTTATGGGGCTAGAGTGATGACTTATAGACTCCTTATAAGCCAGGATGGAAATGGAAGTTTTTTGTTCCTTTTTAATTACCTAGTAATATTCCATTGTGTGGACATGGCAATTTATTTAATCATTAATCAGTGGATGGACTTTTGAGTTGTTTCCTTTTTAATTATGAGTAATACACTGAATTTCCATGTTTAAGTGTTTGTGTTGTCATATATTTTCATATCTCTTAGGTATATAAGAGTGAAGTTATTGGATTATATGTTAACTCATGTTTAATTTTTTTAGGAATTGCTGAACTATTTTCCAAATTGGCTGCACCATTTTATATTCCTGTCAACTATGTGTGAGGGTTCTGGTTTCTCCACATTTAGCCAACACTTATTATTAACTGATTTTTTTATTATACATACTAGTGGGTATCTCAGTATGATTTACATTTCCCTAATAGCTAATGATGTTTAGCACATTTTCATGTGCTTTTTGATTATTTTTATATCTTTGGAGAAATGTCTATTTAAAAATTGGATTGCTTGTCCTTTTGTGGTTGAATTTTAAGTCTTCTCTACAAAGCCTGTCTTATCTGACATATGATTTGCAAACATTTTCTTCCTTGATGGTGTCCTTCAAAGCATAATAGTTTTTAAGTTTGATAATGTCAAGTTTATCATTTTTGTTGCTGCTTGTGCTTTTAGTGTCATATTTAAGACACACTGCCTAATGCAGTTTCATGAAGAGTTACACCTATGGGGCCTCCCCGGTGGCGCAGCGGTTGAGCGCTGGGTTGCGAAGCTGCCCGCAGCCTCTGCAGCGCTGGTTCGATCCCCAGCTGCTCCCCGGCCACCGAAGGAGGGTCCCGCATGGTACACAGACCTCTCCTGCCGTCCGCCGCTCCCCTCAGCAGTGTACTTCGGTCCTTCTGCCTGCTCTGCTCCCTGCTCTGGCTCTGGTGAATTCTCTCACCCTCCCGCGCTTCTGACTGTACCCAGTGCTTGTATAAATAAATAAATAAATACATCTTTTAAAAAAAAAGAGTTACACCTATGTTTTGCCAAGTCTTATAGTTTTTGCTCCCACATTTAGGTCTCTGATCCAATTTAGTTAATTTTTGTATATGGTGGGAAGTAAGGGTCCAACTGCATTCTTTTTGTCCCAGCAAAATATGTTGAAAAGACCTTTCTCTCCCCTTTATATTTTCTTAGCACCCTTGTCAAAAATCACCCTCCCACGCATCTGGCCTGTACCCTGGTTCTTGTATAAAAATAAATAAACCTTTATAAAAAAAAAAGTTCTTTTAGTAATGTTTTGTAATTCTTAGAGAATACATTTTAGTATTTTGGGGGTTGAATTTATTACTATGGATGCTTTTGGAGGTTTTTATAAATGGATTCTTATCCTTTCTCAACCTTCCCCATTGGTCATTGCAAATGGGTGGAAACACATTTTTTTTTTTAAATGTAGAAGAACTGGGTGCAGGTCAGCAGTATGGAGGGTGAAAGAATGCACCAGAGACAGAGTGGGGAACAGAACAGGCAAATACACTGCTGAGGGGAGCAGCAGGCAAAACAGGAGAGGTCTGCTGCGTCATGTGGGTCAGCTCCCTGGCCAGTGATCGAGCTCAGGTCGCTGCAGTGATAGCACTGAGACTTAACCCATAGGCCACAAGGGAGGCCCAGGAGTATGATTTTATAAACGTGATCTTGAGCCTCCCTGGTGGTGCAGGAGTTAAACACAGTGCTATCAACCTGTCGCCAGTCACTGCAGCACACTATAGCACAAGTTCCATCTGGCCGGCCAGGGAGCAACCCACATGGCACTGCAGACCTCTCCTGCCTCGCCTGCTGCTCCCCTCAGCAGTGTATTTCAGTAGATCTGCATGTTCTGCTCCCCACTCTCTCTGGTGAATCCTCTCACCCCTGCACCTCTGGCTTACACCCCAGTTCTTGTATGCATAAAATAAAAATAAATTTAAAAAAAAATAATAAAAAAATAAAAATGTGATCTTGTATCCTGCAAACTGCCGAGCTCACTTCGCCATCCTTTTTCAGATCCCATTTAAGATTCTGCATGGACACGAGCACATTGTGAGCTCCTGTCACTTCTGTGTGAACGACACGAAGGTCCTCAGTAGCTCCTATGACAGCACCGTGAAGCTGTGGGTAGGTGGCCTAGTGATAGGTGGCATCCAAACATCCCAGAAGCTTATTCCTCTGGGGACAATTCCCCAAAATTGAATTTCCAGACACTCGTGATCCAGAGATTTAAAGAGGGTTTTTCTGAGCAAGGTGCAAGAAGGAGAAGTAAAATGAGGGGTACCCTAGTGCCAAGCCCCTATGAAGAGATCAGTGTAACTGCTGCCCGCCTAGTGGTTTGGAAACCGTGGGATGCGGGGTGGGGGGGTGGAGGCCACTGGATCCCCAACACCTTTTATTGGGGGTGAGATGGATCTCAGCAGCGCCTAAGGCTTAGCTGAGGCCACTGAACTATTTCACTTCTTTGGATCTCCTTCTTGTTGGAAAAATCTAGTTCCATCCACAGAGATGGTATGGCCAGGCCTGGTTGGGAAAGGCAGGCCTGAGCACAGATGAGCACCCTAAGGTGCAGGAAGTAGGGGACAGAGCTGTGATAGTCAGACACAGTTCCAGGGAGGTGGGCACCAGGAGCCCTTCTGAAGCTGTGTGGGCACTGCCAGCAGACCCTGGCAAGCCTGTTTGGGAGCAGTGCTGGTCAGTCACAAGGGGGTAAGGAGGCCATTGACCTTTCTAGGAATTCACTGTCCTTACAGTAACCTATGTTTCAAGGAGACTTTCCAGCCCTGCTTGACCGGAAATGCTATTGGCACAGTCTTATTGAAAAAATATCATCTTGGGCCTCCCCGGTGGTGCAGCGGTTGAGCGCTGGGTTGCGGAGCTGCCCGCAGCCTCTGCAGCACTGGTTCGATCCCCGGCTGCTCCCCGGGGAGCAGACATGTCCCACATGGCGCGCAGACCTCTCCTGCCACCCGCTGCTCCCCTCAGCAGTGTACTTCGGTCCTTCTGCCTGCTCTGCTCCCTGCTCTGGCTCTGGTGAATTCTCTCACCCTCCCGCGTTTCTGACTCTACCCAGTGCTTGTATAAATAAATAAATAAATCTAAAAAAAAAAACTTTTAAAAACAAAGAAAATATATCATCTCTGTGCCAACAGGCACCCTCAGTTCTGGTGCCCTGCTTTGTTCTCAGCATATTGTCTGTTTCATTTGCCTGCTTTGATCTGATCCTATTGTGTAGTGATCACCTTGCTTTCCTCTCATCCTACTGTCGACCTACCCACTTTGCTCTGATCTCAAGTCACGGCTGTTGCCCTTCGCTGAGATGAAAGCTTGTTTCACCCTCCCCTCTTGCTGTACATGTGACAAACCTCTTCACACATAAGCCTTTGCCTACAATTCACATTATTTCCAGAGAAGCGATCCCTCAGAGTAGAATTGCTGCCTTGAAGGGTGTGGACAAAATGTTCTTGGAAGGTCTTGGTGGATTCTACCAAGTCTTTATGGCCAGTGGAGAATAGGAAAACGATCTGTTTGCAGCTCTCCCCATCCACCTGTGACCACTTTCCATCCTCGACCTGTCTGTCGATGTGGTGGGGAGCTTGGAGGTACCCTAGATGGAAAAGGTGAACTTCCTGCTCTGGGAAGAGGTCAGGAGCCCCCCCTGAGCTGGCTTAGCACCCCAGGACCATGCCATGTGCATCTTCCCTGGTGTAGACAAGCCCAGGCCGGTGTTGAACTCAAGTCTCAGCTTCGGCAAACACCTGAGTGACTTCTCACTCTCTCCCTCTCTCCCCTGTTGATTTGAGGATACTATGGATGGATCTGTTGTTCGGGAATTTACGCCCCAGGCCACAGCTCCTGTCTCAGAGTGCAGCGTCACGGCTGACAGCAGAAGGTGACCGTCCCTTGTTTTACACTGGTCAGGAAAATCACGAGCGAGAAGCAGTCCAGTGAGCCCCTGGCGCACTCTGTTGCCGTTTCCATTTTTTGCTGTGAGGATCCAGTGGCTGCGACGTAAAGTGTTGTAAAGACAGCACCTACTGGGGCTCATATAGAGCCAGTCTGGGTTTGCTTAATGGAGTTTCTTTTCTAGAGTCACACCTGGGACTCTGCGGCTGTGTGGGGCCTTTGCGATTTAGGCTAAGCCCTCACTGCCCAGGGGAAACTGAGGCCCAGGAAGCAGAGGCATGCCTGAGCTCTCCCTGGGGAAGGGTCAGGCTGGGACTCAGCACAGACATGAGCCTCTGGGATGTATTTGCTTAGATTTTCTCATACAGGGATAGGAGGGGCCTTTAAAACATGAGGGAGTTTCTTTTAAAATGGATTTACTTTCCACCCTGGACAGCAGCTCCAAAACCAGTGTCCTACTTAGAGCTAACGTGGGAATGTAAAGGTTGTGGGAATTTACCTTATTGAGACGATAAACATGGCCACAGTGATATGCAGAGTAAGACAACAAAGGAGCATTTCTATTATTTCACAAAATGTATGAGAAGACATTTCAGAATGAAATGAGCTGTCAGAGTATTTTCCTGCTGAAAGATAAACATGTGAACAGGGAAAAATCACCTGATTCCCTTAGAAGAAGACAGATAATCACAGGACAGAAGAAGCGCTACCTCTTAACACCTTAAATATAAGCCAGTATTTGCAGGACCCTGGGGATTAGGAGAGAGACATTCAGGCATTATTAGGAAGATGCAGGTATTATTTGCCACCTTTGTCCTAAACTATTGAAGTTTTCTTTGAAGAATTTTCTGTGGTTTCTGCATAGAAACCACAGGCACAGTGGTGGCTCTAAAGACAACATCTTTGTCATTTTATTTCCAGAATTCTTGCAGCATCCTATGACAAAAGAGTGCAGGCTTGGGACCTGGAAACAGGGACGCTGCTGGTAAGAACCCCTGTTGCTGTGGGCCATGGTGGAGGCTTGGAGGCTGGTTGGGCTGGGTGGGGGCTGGGGAGAGAAGCTGGTCTTCCAGAAAAGGAGAATTTTCTCTGGGACCCAAGATGATGGAGGCTGGGTGTCGGGAAAGGAAATCACACTAGCTCTGGACTTCTAAATCTCTTCTGTCTCCACGTTGGAGGTGGAGGTGGTGTCCATCCGTCTGTCCATCTGTCCATCCATCCATCTGAACTACTCTGAGACCCACAGCCCACCCAGGGGGTTCTCCTATCCCATCGCTGCTGCCATTCCCTCAAGAACTCTTGCCTCTCCCCTTGCTTCCTCCTCTTTGCTTTCCTCAAAAAGCAGTCTTGGTTCCATGCAAAGATCAATTCATAGTCATTGTCAAAGAATTTTAGGAAGACAAGACAAGGGCTTCCCTGGTGGCGCAAGGGTTAAGTCTCAGCACTATGATGCAATCCCACTGCGGCATGAGTTCCATCCTGGGCCAGGGAGCTGACCCACATGGTGCAGCAGACCTCTCCTGTCTTCCCGCTGCTCCCCTCAGCAATGTATTGCAGTAGATCCGCCTGTTCTGCTCCCCACTCTGTCTCTGCTGAGTCCTCTCACCCCCGCACCTCTGGCCTGTACCCAAGCTCTTGTATGCATAAATAAATACAATAAATCTTTAAAAAAAAAAAAACAAAAAAAAACAAAGACAAGCCGAGTTGAAAAACCCAAAATAAAAACCTTAAAACAAGCCCTCAGCGATTAGAATAACCCCCTTGGAGTCTCTTTTCCTGGACAAGATTTACATATTTGCACAGACATATTTTCTGCTGACAACACAGTGTCATTATACACACACCCTAGAGCCTGACTCCCCCAACTCGACACTAAATGGTGAATAAGTGTAATCAGTACCATCCTTTTTATTTTTTTTTATTTTATTTTTTTTTTATAGAGGCATGTTTTATTTATTTATTTATTTGTTTGTTTGTTCTGTTTATACATGCACTGGGTACAGTCAGAAGAGCGGGAGGGTGAGAGAATTCACCAGAGCCAGAGCGGGGAGCAGAGCAGGCAGAAGGACCGAAGTACACTGCTGAGGGGAGCAGTGGGCGGCAGGAGAGGTCTGCGCGCCATGTGGGACCCTCCTCTGGTGGCCGGGGAGCAGCCGGGGATCGACAGAGGCCGCGGGCAGCTTCGCAACCCAGCGCTCAACCACTGCGCAACCAGGGAGGCCCAGTACCATCCTTTTTAATGAATTCGTGGTACAGCCAGGTCATGCTTGTTTCACCATCTCCTGTAAAGGGCATGGAAGGCTCTTTTCATCGCTCTCAGTCATAGAAAATGCTATACAGAGAAAAGTTAGCACATAATGCTTTATACATATGCTCCAATTTTTTTCAAGGATAGCTGGGTTTTATCACTAGTTTGGTACAGCAACACGGAGTTTTAAAAATTACTCTCCTTGATGGGGCCTCCCTGGTGGCGCAAGGGGTTAAGCGTCAGCACTGTGAAGCTATCCGCAACCACAGCAGCGTGAGTTCCATCCCCGGCCAGTGAGATACCCACATGGCGCAGCAGACCTCTCCTGTCTTGCCCACTGGTCCCCTCAGCAGTGTATTTCAGTGGATCCTCCTGTTCTGCTCCCCACTCTCTCCGGTGAAGCTTCTCACCCCTGCACCTCTTGCCTGCACACCAGCTCTTGTATGCATAAATAAATATATAAATAAAATCTTAACAACAAAAAAAAAGAAGCGAGTCCCAAAGCCCAGCCCTCAAGGGGGTCCTGTGGACGGCTGGGCTGGACAGAAATCTTTTTGATTGTGGCCCTATTTCAGTGGAAGATCAACTTTGAGACTTTCATAGTCACCTGTAAGTTTTCTCCTGATGGTAAGTACGTGGTCTCAGGCTTGGATGTGGATCGTGGAATCTGTATCACAGACGTGGAAAACAGCAGCACCATATCACACATCAAAGGTGAGTGCCTCCCTGGTAACAGCTGCTTCTCACTTGACTGACAGTGGCTTTCAGTTGTGTTATTTTGTGAAACTGACATGCTCTAGGTCATATGATGACATGTTCCATGTGTCATTAGAGATGCAACATTGATAGATGCAAAAGGTTAAAACCAAGAACAGGCCTCATCCATTCAGGCTTTTCTGTTGAGTCTCAGGCTGGTAACAAATAAAACAATGTTCTCCTCTAACCTCACGTGGACATTTAAAGTGCAGTCCTTTACTGCTCCACGCAGTCTTCTTAACATTTTTTGATCTCTATTTTTTTAAAGATTTATATATTTATTTATACAAGAACTGGGGTACAGGCTAGATGTGCGAGAGGGTGAGAGGATTCACCAGAGACAAAGCAGGGAACAGAACAGGCAGACTGATAAAATACACTGCTGCAGGGAGCAGCGGGCGCAACAGGAGAGGTCTGCTGAGCCATGTGGAACCCTCGCTGGCCAGCCAGGATCGAACCCTCACTGCAGAGGCTGCTGACAGCTTCACAGTGCAGTGCTCAACCGCCTGCACCACCAGGGGAGGCCCTGATCTCTATTTTTAAAATATAAAAGTAGGGGCCTCTCTGGTGGTGCAAGGGGCTACGCGTCAACACTATGAAGCTATACGCAGCTACTGCAGCTTGAGTTCAATCCCTGGTCAGGGAGCTGACCCACATGGCACAGCAGACCTCTCCTGTCTTGCCCGCTGCTCCCCTTAGCAGTGCATTTCAGTCAGTCTGGCTGTTGTGCTTCCCAGTCTGTCTCAGGTGAATCGTCTCACCCCCACACCTCTGGCTTGTACCCAGTTTTTGTAGGCATAAATAAATAAATCTTTAAAAATAAATAAATAGGGCCTCTCTGGTGGCACAAGGGGTTAAGCACAGCACTGTAAAGCTATCCACAGCCTCAATAGCACAAGTGCAATCCCTGGCCAGCCAGGATGCTATTCACATGGCACAGCAGACCTCTTCTGTCTCCCTGCTGCTCCCCTCAGCAGTGTATTTCAGTCAGTCTGCCGGTTCTGCTCCCCAATCTGTCTCTGGTGAATCCTCTCCCCGCACCTTTGGCCTGTACCCCAGTTCTTATATGCATAAATAAATAAATGTTTAAAAATAAATAAAATATAAAAGTGGCAGTTGTGATTATTAATAGTACATATAAAGTGTTCCAGTGTTTAGCACATACTGATGATTAGCAATATTATCATTATTATTATTGTTACCAATATCTCCATCATTCTGTGGGTCCCCTGCCTGCTCTGGGGTGTCCCCCAATCAGACTGGGGACCCCTATTATGGCAAAATGGATTTGGCCATGCTCCTGTTTGAAGCCTGGCATGTCGTGGCACTTGGGACATGTTTGTGCAAGTGAATAGTCCCTTGTGAAAGCCAGAATTGGGTCTCAGTAATATCAGTGTCTGGGGGAGAAGTATGGGCCTCCAGGCCACCTGGGGAGCACATAATGACAAGCCACGCTCCCCACATCTCAGGTCATCACCAGAAGTCACTCACTGCATGCTGCTTTGACCCTGACAGCCAGAGGGTGGCTTCCGTCTCATTGGACAGGAGTGTCAAGATCTGGGATATTGCGTCTCAGGCCACAGTACTCACCATCACCAAGTAATAAGGAGTCCTGGGTGACTGGGTGATCTCCTGCAGCAGGGAGGTGGGCGGGAGCCCCCATCATGCTCTCCTGGCCTTTTTTTTTTTTTTTTTAATCTCTTTTTTGCTAAGAAAAACTGGGGTATAGGCCAAAGGCAGGGGCGAGGGGCGGGTGAGAGGATTCACCAGAGACAGAGTGGGGAGCAGAAAAGGTGGATCTACTGAAATCCACTGCTGAGGGGAGCAGTGGGCAAGTCAGGAGAGGTCTGCTGCATCATGTGGGTCACCTCCCTGGCCAGGGATTGAACACAGGCCAAGGCAGTGATAGTGCTGAGACTTAACCCCTAGGCCAGCAGGCAGGCCCTCTTCTGGCCTTTCATGAAAAGTGGAATTTATTTGAAATGAGAGCCCCATCCTGGAAAACAGAGATCACACCGTATTCAATCCCATGGGCAGAGCCTGGATTCTGGGGAGGACTTGTCAGCCTCTTCCCATGTGTGTGGGGAAGGTTCTTAGCCCACCAAGCTCTGGGATTTGGGAAGTTTTACAATGGACACCCCTGGGAAGTTGGTGTTTGTTTGCTCTTAATCAGCTAGTGCATCTCAAAGAACTGAAACAGACTCCAACACTAGGTCACTCAGAGATGCCCCTTTATGTTTATTGCTTCACTTGAAAATGATTTTTAACAGGAGGTGGGTCATAGGGACATACTTTAAGAATCACAACAAAATAAAAAGCAGCAAAATTATGACAGTTTTTTTCCTTTTCCAAAAAAAGGAAACCTTTAAAAATTGAAAGTGAATAGCCTAAAACTTTATTAAGTACATATTACAATGTGCTTTAATGATACTGAAGACAGGGGCCTCCCTGGTGGTGCAAGGGGTTAAGTCTCAGCTACTGGCAGCTACTGCAGCTCGAGTTTGATCTCCCGCCAGGGAGCAACCCACATGGCACAGCAGACCTCACCTGTCTTGCCCGCTGCTCCCCTCAGCAGTGTATTTCAATAGATCTGCCTGTTCTGCTCCCCACTCTGTCTCTGGTGAATCCTCTCACCACCCCCCACCATATCTCTGGTGTACACCCCAGTTCTTATATGCATAAATAAATAAATCTTTTAAAAAATGATACTGAAGACCGATGAGAGAGGGAGAAAAAAACAGGAGACAATGGTTGGGGGTAGAGAGAAGTTGGGGAGAGTAAATGAGAAAGAGGTGGGGGAGAAGGCCAGGAGGGCCGAGGCCCCATGTCCTGAAGAGAGAGGTGGTGGGGAGCAAACCAAAGCAGCAGCGAGCAAGGCGATCGAGAGGAGGTGCCGGGAGGCGCGTGGGCCTCCTGTCACTCCTGATGTGATTTCAGATAGAGGCGGCTCAAATCCATCAACTGTGAGCAGGAGAGGCCCACTTCATAAGTGGATCCACTCTACACCTGAAAGATTGTTTGTCCATTAATCATCACTGACGACTTCCAGCTGCTCTTTTTCTTCCAGCTCAGGCAGCTTGAGTAGGCCAGTGGTTCTCAATGGTGGCACTTTTGTGCCCCCGTGGACAAATGTCTTTAGAAGTTTAAGTGGTGACAGCTGGGTGTGGGGACTGTTGGCATTTCGTCGATAGAACCCACAGCTAGAACAGCCCTACTACAAGGAATCCCCCGGCGCAAGCTGTCAGCACTGCTGCAATAGTGTGACAGAGCAGTGACTACTTGGGCCAAGAAGCAGCACTCAAGGGAGTGATGTCTGTTTAGGCTACAGGGGACCAGCTCCAGCCTCTCCTCCCCGCCCTGGGTGGGTGGCCCTCCTGTGGCAAGGTGCTAACGTGGTGTTCTTCTCTTTGTTCCAGGGCACATGCCAATGCCATCTCCAACTGCTGTTTCACCTTCAGTGGTCATTTCCTGTGTACAAGCTCTTGGGATAAGACCTTAAAAATATGGAATGTCCACACAGGGGAGTTTCGAAAGCAGGGGGCCTGTGTGACCCTAATGCAGGGCCACCAAGGTTCTGTGAGCTCCTGCCAATTTGCTAGAGACAGTGAGTAGCAAGTAAAGGGTCCTGTTCTCTGGGGTCTCAAGTTCCGTTCGTGTTAACTCTTTGTGCAGAGAGGTGATTTCCCATGATGCCCAGCGTGAGGGTGGATTTCTTTTCCACAAGAGCAAAAAAGTCCAGGAAAATTGTTAAGCACAAGTTTACAAGGTCAGAAACTCAACTCCAGGTGACTTGAGTAACAAAAAGACACTTATTAACTCCTGGAATGGGAAAGTCCAGAGCAGGTTTCACTTCCAGTGTGGCTGGGTTCCAACACTCAGAAAACACCATCCACCATCTCTCGGCTCGGCCTCCCTCTTCAAGGAGGCTCAGACGGCCTCTGAGAGACCTGCTTTCTGATGTTGAAGGCACATGTTCCAGGGAACAGTTGTTGGCTCAGCGTGGGTCCCATGCCCTCCTCTGAACCCATCAAGTGATAGGGTTGAAAGGCAGGGGATGAAAGGCCTGAGTCCCTGGCCCACCTTCAAGAGCTGGAGGTTGGGGTTAGCACCCTCTGAACTAGAGGACCTGTGAGTAGGTGACAGGCATTTGCTCCATAAGAATTGTGGAGTTGTTTCCAAACGAAGGGACATTGATATGAGCAGGGACAATGATTGGAGGCTGGCGATGACCAGAGGCTGGCAGTGATTAGAACTGGCGCTGACCACCAGGCCCAGTGAGGAAAGTGAAGGCTCCTAAAGGCCTAGAGCTGGTGCTGTTCTTCCCCATCCGCATGGGGAGTGAGGCTCACTCTGTGTGAGTGTGGGGGGCACCCAGCCAACACACACGCAGTCAGCGCCTGATGTGAGAAGGACATTTCTCAACAGCTTCCTCTTGAGAAGCGGCCTTTGTGATGTCAGCCACCCCCCCAGGTCCTGCCCTCGCCTGGATGGAGTTCAGAGTTGTATGCAGTCATATATGGGTCATATATGCAAATTCACCTCTTGGGTGAAGTTTCTTTGTGACCATCAGTCAGTCCTCTTGACACCTGCGTGGTCGCTCAGGGGTCCACACAGAGCAGTGACAAGCATGAATTAGCCTCGCACACAGTCCCCACTGGGTCTGAACAAGGTGACCGTCTGGCTTCTTGTTTCAGTTCTCGTGGCAAAGTGTCTTTTATGTAGTGTTCAGAGCCACATTTACACATTTTGTGCTTCTGTTGAGAATTTATTTAAAGCAGCCTCAAACTTGCTGGGGCAGAACACAGGTAAGCTTTGACCAGGCATAAGCTATAGTGCTGCTGGCCACCAATATTTATAATAATCAACATGTATCAAATAAAGTGTCTTTTTAAAAAAAGATTTATTTATGCATATAAGAACTGGGGTATAAGCCAGAGGTGCAGGGAGTGAGAGGATTCACCAGAGACAGAGTAGGGGAGCAGAACAGGCAGGTCTGCTGAAATACACTGCTGAGGGGAGCAGCGGGCGAGTCAGGAGAGGTCTGCTGCGCCATGTGGGTCATCTCCCTGGCAGGGGATCGAACTCGTGCTGCAGGGGCTGTGGACAGCTTCACAGTGCTGTGCTTAACCACTTGTGCCACCAGGGAGGCCTTCAAATAAAGCATCTTTAAGCAGAAAACAAGCCTATGTGTTCCTTGGTGAAGGAAAATGGGGGTGATGGTCAGTCTCAGCCAACTCACTGATCACATGATAGAAGGAGCCATGAGAATAAACAAGCTGGTTGGCTGTCATTGAGTCACGCCAGGAAAGGGTTTGTGTATCCTCAAAGTGAACCACAGTAGCTCCTGCTTTGGTGTCACCAGGGGAGGAAGTAGTTGGAGGTGCTTCCTGAGACTCTTTCATTTTGTGTTGCAGCCTCTTTCCTTGTGTCTGGAGGGTTTGACAGGACTGTGGCTATTTGGGATGTAGGAGAAGGCAACCGGAAGCTCTACTTGAAGGTACCAGTGCCAGCAGATCTGAGCTTCATCCTTTAGTCTTCTATGAGGGCGTTGAGTGCTGGGATACAGTGGTGAAGGAGACAGACATAAATGTCCCCAATGGACCTAACACCTCTATGGGGAAGGACAGATGAGAAACCAACAAACAAATCACAGCTGGTGATGCATGAGCTAGAGATACTACAACAGGGAGACTTGACAGAAGTAGACCCCAAGGACTTACCCGCAAGTGGGTGGACGGGGAGGGCCTCTTGGGGAAGGTGACATTTGAGCTGAGAACTGGATGGCAAAGGAGGTCTAGGTGAGTAAGTATCTTAGGGAAGGGTATTCCAGGCAGATGGAACAGAAGATGCTAACCCCCAGAGGAGAGAACATGTCTCAGCATAACAGAAGTTACTGTGCAGAAGAAGAATGCCATAATGAGGCATCCACAGAGAGCCGGGGGCCTCCAAAATGGGGGGTGGGAGTCTGAGGGACTCAGCTCAAAGTGGCTCTATAAGAAGTAAACAGATTACCAACACAGCAAGAATTCAGGGGTTAGGGAGTTCCAGGATAGGCTACTCGAGTGCCTCTGTTCCAGGGGCTTCCTACCCCCAGATTTGTGCACAGGCCCTGATTGTGCCACCATGTCACACCTTTGCCTGTGAACATGTGTATCCATTGACTCTTGGTCTCTGTCCCCAGACAGAGAAGATGTCCTCTTGATGAGACCCTCGGGCTCCCCAGGCGGGCTTTCCTGAGCTCACTTCTCCAAGGGTTTGAGGAGGCAAAGGAGGTTCTACCACAGCAAGCACAACAGCTTAAAACAGAATGTTCAACCTCCCTGTGTTTAAAAGTCACTTAATCCAGCTACCAAGTTCTCTCTTTTTTTACTCTCCAGTTCTTGTGCTTTCGTTATGCACAGTAGTTACCCTCTCTCCGGCTTCCTGGCCTCCTGCTATACCCCACTGCCTCACCTACCACCTCTTCTCCTAAGGGAAAGGCCAAAAAATGACAGAAATGCTGACGCACAGGCCCAGCATCAGTGAGCGTCTGAACCAGCAATCGTCCCCTTCTCCTGCAAGCTTCTGGAAACCTCTCCTCCCCACACACACACATTTACTGAGCCACAGTGGAGACATCTGCCTTTACTTGAAGCCAAAGCCCCTTCCCAGTAGGACCACTGAGTGGTATTTCTCAGAGCAAAGAATGCAAATTAAAAGCTGCTGGAGACACTCTGGGACCAGCGGCAAATACAATAACTCTTCCCTACTATACACCAGAGTATTGTTTAAAGACATACAATGCATTTTGTGCATGTCTCACAAGCCTGGCACTTTGTAAATGTCTGGTGAAACCAGGGTAGCTCATCAGTTGGTTGTAAATGTAAGCAATGTGGTGGCTTCCTCATTTCATTTGCTTGTTGTTTTTTTAAAGATTTATTTTATTTATTTATGCATACAAGAGCTGAGGTACAGGCCAGAGGTGCAGGGGGTGAGATGATTCACCAAAGACAGAGTGGGGAGCAGAACAGGGGGATCTGCTGATATACACTGCTGAGGGGAGCAGCGGGTGAGACAAGAGAGGTCTGCTGCGCCATGTGGGTAGCTCCCTGGCCAGAGATCAAACTCATGCTATAGTGGCTGGTGATAGCACTGAGATTTTAACCCCTGTGCCACCAGGGAGGCCCATTGTTTTTGTTTTTCTTACAAAACTTTTTCCCTCTAGGTCCTCATTCAAATCTCCTTTTCTTCAGGGCCACGAGGACTGGGTGATGGATGTTGCTGTCAGCAGTGACAAGAAATGGATCCTGTCTGCTTCAAAGGTACAAGTGACCAAGCTCTGAGTGCCTTAAAGCCTCCACCACATGTGTGAACATCAGTGGTAACAAAATTCCTGACCAGGCTCAGCCTCCCACCCAGGGAGCTGCCGGAAGAGGTTAAAAGCAGGTTGTTCCCTGTGCTCATGTGGGATTTCCACGTCTGTACCACTGACAGTTGTGCTTTGTTGGAGCAAGAGCCCGGCCACCCTGGTCAGTGATGGAGCCCTCAGGGGCCTAGGAGGGAAGGCATCGTGGACAGAGGACAGCTGAGGTCCTCAGTTGTTCTTTCCGCCCTACATTCCCTATATCTTGGAAAGCCCATTCTAAAGTTACATAACAGGGCCTCCCTGCTGGCACAAGGGGTTAAGTCATAGCACTATGAAGCTATCCACAGAGGCACGAGTTCAGTCCCCAGCCAGGGAGATGACCCACATGATGCAGCAGACCTCTCCTGTCTCACCCGCTGCTCGCCTCAGCAGTGTATTTCAGCAGATCTTCCTGTTCTGCTCCCCTCTCTGTCTCTGGTGAATCCTCTCACCATCCCCCTGCACCTCTTGCCTGCACCCCAGTTCTTGTATGTATAAATAAATCTTTAAAAAAATAATAAAGTTAGGGCCTCCCTGGTGGCACAAGGGGTGCTTAAAGCACTACACTACAAAGCAATCCGCAGCCTCTGCAGCACGAGTTCGATCCCAGGCCGGCCAGGGAGCAACCCACAGGGCAAAGCAGACCTCTCCTGTCTCACTCGCTGCTCCCCTCAGCAGTGTATTTCAGTCAGTCTGCCAGGTCTGTTCCCCACTCTGTCTCTGGTGAATCCTCTCACCCCCCACACCTTTGGCCTACACCCCAGTTCTTGTATGCATAAATAAATAAATCATTAAAAAAATAAAATAAAATCTTTAATAAAAAGATATTTAAGAAAAAGAAGACTGCCTATCTTGACAAACTTGTTAGCAAGCCAACCCAACAAAAGCTCCACTATAATTAACGTAATTTAATATGATAATGATATTCATAAAAATAGGAAAATGATGTCAACTAAATCTCAGTAAAGCTGGAAACAAGTAAACATATGAAGCATGTTTATTTGAAATATTTTGTGCATTTTACTTTTTCGTTATATAAATGTTGTTATTGAAACAAAACACCAACAAAATTTGTTAATAGCAGCAATAAGTAATGAAAAGTAGGACTAAGTAAACAAATATGTATAAGAAAATTATAAAAAATATCTTATAATGTTTATTTCTGTCCTCAGATACATCAATTTATTTAGGCTTTTTGAAAAAGCAGCTATTGTTGGGCCTCCCCTGGTGGCACAGCGGTTGAGCGCTGGGCTGCAAGGCTGCCCACAGCCTCTGCAGCACCGGTTCGTTCCCCGGCCACCAGCAAAGGTCCCACCAAAAAAAGGAAAAAATGGTTACTGCATTTTGAAATTTTGTAGGTTATTATCTTATTGTATATTCTTAAGATATATAAGACTTTTTAAAAATGAAAATATAGATACAATAGGCTTGATTAAAAAGCTATTACTTGTATTTATTTGTATATTTATTTTTCCAGCTTTATTGAAATACAATTGCCATATAAAATTGTGTAAGTTTAAGGGCACAGTCTGTTGATTTGATACACTAGCACACTGATTACTATCACAGCCTTAATACCTCAGCGTCACGTCACATAGTTTCTATATAGCTACTATTTCTTTTTTTTGTGGTGAGAACATTTAAGTCTAGTCCCTTAGCAACTTTCATGTATATAAACAGCATTATTCATTATAATCACCCCGGATAGTATTAGTCTTATAAATGGAAGTTATACTCTTTGACCAACATCTCCCCATTTCCCCCCAACCCCCCAGTCCCTGGTAACCACCATTCTCAGTTTAATATGAGTTTGATTGTTTTGACTCCACAGGTAACTGAAATCATATTTGCCTTTCTCTGTCTTGACTTATTTCACTTAGCATAATGCCCTTAAGAGTTACCCGTGTCACAGATGGCAGAATTTCCTTCTTTGTCAGTCTGAATAATGTTCTCTTGCCTATATCTACACCACGACTGCTTTATTCATTCATCGGTTAACGGGTATTTAGCTTGTCTCCATGTCCTGACTATTGTAAATAATGCTGCTGTATATGAACATTTTGAGATAGTGTTTTCATTTTCTTCAGCTATATTCCCAGCAGTGGAATTAATGGATCTTATTGTACTCTATTTTTTTTTAAGAACGTCTATCCCTATTTTCCATAGTGACTGCACCTTTTACATGCCCACCACAGTGCACAAAGGTTTCCTTTTCTCCACATCCTTGCCAACACTTATCTCCTGTCTTTTGGAAGATGGTCATTCTAGCAGGTATGAAGTGGTATCTCAGTGTGATTTTTTTAAAGATTTATTTTATTTTATTTTGTTTATGCATACAAGAACTGGGGTGTAGGCCAGAGATGCGGGAAGTGAGAGGATTCACCAGAGACAGAGTGGGGAGCCGAACAGGCGGATCCACTGAAACACACTGCTGAGGGGAGCAGCGAGCAAGACAGGAGAGGTCTGCTGCGCCATGTGGGTTAGTTCCCTGGCTGGGGATCGAACTCAGACCACAGTGGTGACAGCACTGAGACTTAACCTCTAGGCCATCAGGGAGACCCCTCATTGTGGTTTTGATGTGCATTTCCCTGATGAACTCTTAGAAAACGTGATCACAGTATTTGCAGTGTTAAATTATAAAGTTCTACTAACACTTCTTAATAGAAAGCACAACAATTAATCCACAGGTAAAAATCAGAGGCAGACTGTTAACACTCAGGATTAAAGGCAGCTGAATTGACTCTAGAGTGGCCTCACTCAGTGATTCACAACAATGGCTAATCCATTATTAACAATTGTGGCAAACAGTGACAGCAGCCTTGAGGGCTGCTGCTATTTCGGGGGCTGCTACAATGGGTTTTGTATCTCCCCCCAAACTTTCACATCCACTGCTGAAAAGTGGGACTTTTTGCACCATGAAAGGAGTTTGTTGAGACGAGTGTAGGACATGGGGCTTTCAGTGCTAAAGCTGGGGTGGTGCTGTAGAAACTGAGGGAGCTGATCACCCTAACTGTGCCCCTCTGCAGGTCAAGGTCTCCACACTTCACCTGGATGCTCCTCCTGAGCCCGCCTAGGCTAATGGACCCATTTTATTGACTTCTGGTTTGCTTATTAACTTGTTAACTTATTCTAGGATACCACACTGAGAGTATGGAATATTGAAGAAATTGACCAAATTCCTTTGGTAATCAAGTACAAAAAGACCCTGGGCTTAAAGGTTAGTACTGGGTAAAATTAAGTCTGAGGCTTATTCCCTCTACAAATTAACTTAATGAACTAAATAAACAGACATTTATTGGGAAACTGAGGATGAGACCATGAACAAACAGGTTGAAATTCTTGCCCTGAGAGTGCTTAATAAAGTAAGAAGGAAAATATGTATTAAGTTACATGATGGTAAGTAATTTGGAGAAAAATTAATGGATGAGGGCGGATGGGAGTGCTGGACGTGGCAACATGTTAAAGGGCAGGAGTCATGGAGAAGTTGACGTTTGTTCAAAACCTTATGAGGTGTTGGGGTGAGCCACGCAGATAATGGGGGAGAACTTCCCAGCAGAGGGAACAGCCTGTGTGGAGACCCTGAGGCCAGAGCGATCCGGGTATGTGTGGAGTGGAGCTCCTGAAGGGGAATGGGAGGGGATGAGGCCTGAGGTGCTGGGAGGCTCTGGCCGAAGATGCCTGGCCAGGTCCTAGTCCCTGTTTGCCATGGAAGAGGCTCAGGTTTGGGTTTCCTTAGTGAAAGTTCCGGTAGTAGAGTGAGAGCATGTCCTGCTCCACCAGGTGAGGCCTGTCCCGGCTGGGGCTTCACAGTGCACACACCTGGAGCCACTTGTGAGGGAGGCTGAAGAGTCTCAGCTGGGCCCTCTCACATCCTGGCATCACCTAGGATCATATCAGAAGGTCTGTCTGTGAACCACTGCCTCTGGGAATGGCCATCTAGGAACAGTCCTGTGGGCAGGGGTGAGGAGTATCTCTGTGGCCCCTCTGGCCCTCAGGCCCTGGAAGGTAACCTGCTGCAGAGCAGTCCTGCCCTCTCCTTCACCTACCAGTGGAAGCTGCCTCCTCTCAGGCCTGTTCTGAGGTTTGGTTATTATAACTGTATCACATGTGATATATAGTATATATTACTATGATGTAGAATTGTTACAAGGTAGGATGTTTCTTTCTTGCAAAAGAAAGAGGCCTACCTAAAGCTGTAGCAAAGAGGACTCCTCTGCATTTCACTAGCCCTCAGAATTGGAATTTCCCAGAACCCTGCCTGGGTGGGGTTTGCTGGCCTCTCCTGAGGGCCAAGTGCCCCCCTAGTGGGTGAGGGGTAAGGGTGAGGGGGGTGAAGCACAGACACTGGAGTGCCAGGGCAGGGGGCATGCCACTTTGTGGGCTCATCTTGGGGGGCTGTGCTATGGTGGGAACCCCTGAAAGACCCACCCTGTGGTGCTGCTCGCTTGTTTGTGGTAAGAAAGGGTGGTGAGAAAGCTGTGCTGCAGCATCCACTGTTCTTTGTGTGCTTTGAAAGGCACAGAGTCGAGGAGGTGGCCCAGCACCTTTATCTAAGAATCTGCTTTGTCCAGAAATCGTGCTTTATGGTGCCTCATGGCTAACTCTGTAAAAGTTAAGTGTCCCAGCATGTCAGGGAGGTGCCATAGGTGCCATAGGTGCCCTGGGTCTCACAATCCTGATGTACACAGAGCAGTAGACAGGTCAGATACCCAGCCTGTCTTCTCCACTGCCGAGGGGCTTGTCACACCTGTGTCACCTCTTGGCAGGAGACAAGAGCTGGCAGCAGCTGCATAGAGTTGGGGGGAAAGAGAGAAAAGCTTGTTCTTTGTGAGCAGCCTGGCAGTGTTCACCTTGTAGAGTTAGACACCCTAAGGAGAGGCCACAGACACCTTGGCCCAGTCCAGGGCGGGGCGGGTGAGGGGATTCTAACTGAAGGCCTTCACCCTCTCTGATACGTGTCTCCTTTCTGATCTTAAACTGTTGTGCCTCAGTGTGAAAGCTGTAACAGGCCTTTCTCCATCTACGAAACCGACACCTTACCTGAAACAGTCTCCAAGTGTATGTTCTGCCGGACAGACACAAAGGACATGGCAGCAGGGGCGCCATCATCACTGGAGGACTGTCCCACAGGGGAGCAGTCGGGCAGTGATGACTGATGGCCACCAGGGCCTTGAGTGACACAGGCACTGGCCACTGGCCACATCGGTGTTGGGTTCTGCAGGGACCTTTGCGGGGCCCTCCCTTGCTGGCTGGGTTTGACAATCTGGGCCAGAGCCAAGCACTGCCTGGGCTCCCCCCATTGCAGTCCTCAGCACCCATGGGGACCAGACACTTTGTTTTTGGTTTTCATGGAGAATAAATCTAGATTCTTTGGAAAACAAGTGTGTACATGAATTCTAGAAGCATTTCTTCTATTTCTAAAAGCTTAACGCACTGTGTTTCCTTTCTCTTTTGAAGGCATTCTGGACTCTGGAGTTGCCCTGTAAGGCCACCCCTGAGAGAGAAGGGGTAGCTGAATGAATAGGGAGGCTGAAGATCCCGTGGGGTGGGAAAGGCTATACCAGGGTGAGGACTAATCGGGCCACCCCGGCTAGTGCCCCCAGATGGCCATCTGCCCAGAGCAGGCTGGTGCTGGGCTTTTCCCTCACAGAATGTTTCATGCTCTGCACCCAGACTTTTCAATCTCCAGAAGGCTGGCACATGTGTTCAGCCTTCTTCCTGCTTCCAGAATATGTCATACAACATGAGTCAGTTCTGTCAGAAAGAGTGGAGGTTTCCATGAACAAACATGAAGGACTCCTTTTTCCACTATATATGGCTCATAGTGTTACACGGCAGCCCCGATATAAAACGGGTTGCCTGACTGCGGGTCCTCACCCGTGCGCTTAAAAGGGACTTAATACTCCGCTGCAGGCACACACAAAAGGTTAATAAAAGATTTATTCACAAGGGAAGGGGAAATGAGGAAATGTATAACTCAGGGAGAAAAGTGGGAGATAAAGTTTTAAATGTGTCCTACCCGATCCGCTGATCTGGAATCCCAAATGGCACTGAGAGCTGGCCGCGAGCCAGGAGCCGTGAAGCCAGGAGGTGAGAGAGAGAGAGAGAGAGAGAGAGAGACCCGAAGGCCCCCGTGTCTGGTTTTTATACCAACCCTGGCTGCTTACCTCCACCCTCAAGTCCCAGCCACCTTCCCTTTGGTGGTGATGGGATTTGTCTTTCCCAATGTCCTGATGGCTTTGGTCTGGAGTGGGGGTGGGGTCCACAAAGCCTGTATGGGATTAGCTCAGGACATCCTTCCCCCCAACAATAGGATTTCCACCAAATATTTTGAGTACACACTCTCTGTAATTCAGTATTTCCATTTATTTACATGAATAATTTATGAACATTTCAGAACTCCAGCCCATCCAGCAATTGGGCTCTCTCTTGGAGGTCCTGTTGCTCGTGGCCTAATAGTTCTTCTTGGGTCTTGAATCTGCTGCTCTCAAACTATAACTTAAACCATCGACTACCTTGGGTCTCTGGCCTTACGACTGAGGCATTTGGACTCAGACTGGAGCTCTACCGTCAGCTCCACCGTCAGCTCTGGGGCACAGCTTAGAACCTGCCAGCCTTGATGATAGTGTGAGCCAGTTATTTAGACTAAATCTCATATGCATAGTGCTAAATATCGATTCTCCGGAGAACACTAACACAGGGGGTGATGGAGATGTTCTAAAATTGATTGTATCAATGTTTGCACAACTCTGATTACACTAAAACAGATGAATTCTATACATTAAATTGGTGAGTCACATGGTATGTGAATGATGCCTCAATAAAGCTGTTATAAGCAAAGCACATGTACTTCTACAAAATTCAACTCAATACATAAGTGATGTCTATGTGGGCAGCCAGGGAAGGGTCTGGAAGGTACCAGGATTTTGGTGTCTTACTCCCTGTAAGAGTAAACCCATAGGAAGCACTTTTTCTTCACTCCCTAAGAGTGAACATAACCAATTCAGTCCTCAGGACAACTGAATGAGGAATCTACTATTTTTTTTTTTAAGATTTATTTATGCATATAAGAACTGGGGTATAGGTCAGAATTGTGGGGGTTAGAGGATTCACCAGTCAGAGAATGGGGAACAGAACAGGAAGATGTACTGAAATGCTCTGCTGAGGGGAGCAGCGGGCGAGTCAGGAGGGGTCTGCTGTACCATGTGTGTCACCTCCCTGGCTGGGGATCGAACTTGTGCTGCAGTAGTTTTGGATTGCTTCATATTGCTGCCTCTTAACCCCTAGCGCCACCAGGGAGGCCCCCCCTCTGGAATCTGTTATTATTATTCCCATCTTATATGTGTGAAAATGGAGTCACATGGTAGAGATATGTGCTCATTTTTTATCACTGGCAAGAAAAACACGCAGCTAGTACTTGGCAAAGCAGTGTGGGTCCAGAGTCTGTTCTTACCAACTACACTATACCACTTCTCATACATTTCACTTTATTTCTTGCTTGAATTTTAATCATGAAGCTATGTTGGTATGATTGTATAATTTTAAAATTTGATTTAAATAATCACTCTGTGATCTAATCAAGATAATTCACTCAGCATTCCCAAAGGAGTTATCATTCAATGGAAATTGAGCTGTGACCACATTCCAACCCAATCCCCATAACTCAAAGTCCGTTGACTGGAATCCAGGCACTTTCACCTCATTTCCCCCACCCCATAATCTCCCTTATCCTGCCTCTTAAAACCCTGCCAGGCCCCAAAAACTTTTGCATTAAAACAGTGGTTTATGGGGGCCTCCCTGTGACACAAGGGTTTATATTTATTTATTTATTTTTAAATAATAAATTTTATTTTTATATTCCCCATACATTTGCAACCCCCCCATTCTGACCCCAATCCCTCCCCTCCCGCCCCCCACTCCCCAAAAACTGTCTCTGGTTCATAGTTTTTTGTTGATTTTGATTTCCACTTTCTTATAGTTATTCATTTTCCTGGTCCCTTATTTAAGTTCTCTAGATTCCTGCTATGAGTGAGACCATCCGGTATTTTTATTTTTCTTTCTGGCTTATTTCGCTGAGCATGATCCCTTCCAGCGCCATCCATGTTGCTGCAAATTGCATGTGTTTATCTTTTTAGAATGCTGAGTAATATTCCATGGTATATATGTACCACGTCTTCTTGATCCAGTCATTTATTTTTGGGCATTTGGGTTGTTTCCAAAGCTTAGCTATTGTAAACAGTGCTGCTATAAACATAGGGGTGCAGGTGTTCTTTGGAATTGATGTTTCTGTGTCCTTTGGGTAAATACCTAGGAGTGGAATTGCTGGATCATATGGAAGCTCTATGTTTGGTAGATAAGAAATCGCCACACAGCTCTCCATAGTGGTTGGACCAGTTTGCACTCCCACCAGCAGAGCAGGAGTGTTCCTTTTTCTCCACACCCTCGCCAACATTTGTTGTTGCTAGTTTTTTCAATATGTGCCATTCTCACTGGTGTAAGATGGTATCTCATGGTAGTTTTGATTTGCATTTCCCTGATTACAAGTGATGTTGAACATTTTTTCATATGCCTGTTGGCCATTTGCATTTCCTCTTCAGAGAAGTTTCTTTTTAGCTCTTCTGCCCATTTTTTGACCGGATTATTTTCTTTGTTGTTGTTGAGTCATCAGCTCTTTGCAGATTTTTGTGATCAGTCCTTTATCATTAGTGTTGGGTGCAAAAATGTTCTCCCAGTCACTGGGGTTTCTCTTGACACAAGGGTTTAAGACGCAGCCTATGAAGCTATCCGAAGCCCTGTAGCGCGAGTTCGATCCCCAACCAGGGAGCTACCCACATGGCCCAGCAGACCTCTCCTGTCTCACCCACTGCTCCCCTCAGCAGTGTGTTTCAGTCAGTCTGCCTGTTCTGCTCACCACTCTGTCTCTGGTGAATCCTCTCGCCTTCCCACGCATCTGGCCTGTACCCTGGTTCTTGTATAAATAATTAAATAAATCTTTACAAAAAAATAAAATTATAAAAAAAAAAGGGGGAAGGGTGTAGAAGATAAGGGATTGTGAGTCTGCCCTCCAGGTACTTCTTATCTACTCGATGACACACTGTAATTCCCAGCCATGGTTCTAATCTTATCAACAAGGTGGTCCACTGATCAGCTTCTGGACCCCCTTCTGGGGTCATACATCGATCCTCAACCCCCGGGCCTTCCCGGTCATACCTCTGATGTCTAAGTTGGGAGTAGATGGTATGCATTGGTCCTCAGGCCCTGGGGCCTTCCAGATATACCACGTGATGTACATGTTAGGCATCGGTCCCCTGCAAGTCTTCACTCTGGATTTCCCTGGCGTTCTTTCTCCCCTTCTCTCTCGGCCCCTGCTTCTCTTGGCAACTAATCTAAATACTGAGTCAAGGCCCACAGAAGTAAACAACAACTTACAACAATGTAACAAATGCAGGTGCCCCATCAGGCAGCGCAATCCTAATGGCAGGAGGGCAGAAAAGCCTGAACCATTTCCCCTACAGGAGATATTTAATGTCTTGCTTAGGTCTCCCACACCTCATGAAGTCAGGAACAAACACTCAAAACCAACCGGTTGTACTGCAGGCTAGGAGGAAAGAAGCGCCAGAAATAAACCAGACCCACAGGTCACACGTCCTCTTACCTATAATAAAATCACGCCTGAATGGAAATGGGCAAAAGCTCCTTTGGCCAAGAGTCAAAACATCCGGACAGGTTTTCTGTTGCAATGTCCATCAAAAACAACCAAGCCATAAAGGGCAAGAGCTGATCTCCTAATGAGAGAATAACGGAAGACAAACCCAGAGCCTTAGGAGAGGCAGAGGGGCGTCGCATTTGACTATTTGGAACACACTTAAGTTTCTGCAGGTCGTCTCGTCTGGCGGGTCCTATGGCAACGCCATAAATTCGACATGTCAGGCCTCCCTGGTGGGGCGAGGGCTTAAGCACCGCGCTATGAAGCAATCCGCAGCCTCTGCAGCACGAGTTCGATTCCCTGGCCTGCCAGGAGCTACCCACATGGCGCAGCAGACCTCTCCTGCCTCGCGCCCGCTGCTCCCCTCAGCAGTGTATCTCAGTCAGTCTGCCTGTTCTGCTCCCCGCTCTGTCTCTGGTGAATCCTCTCACCTCCCACACCTCTGGCCTGTACCCCAGCTCTTGTATGCATAAATAAATAAATATTTGGGGAGAAAATTCGACATGTCAGTATCTGGGTAACTTTTTTTATTCCACAGACTCGCCGCCTCCCTCGCGCCCCCCAGACAGGGATGCAATTGCTCCGGGTCGGGCCCCACACCTGCGTTCCCACGGCGGCCTCACGGCGGGCGCTCGGGAGCCCCGCGGGGCGCCCCCAAGG